CTAGCCAGACATCCTGGGTGTTTGACCCCTGAGCAAAGATAACTCTTTCAAACCCTATGTTCCATTTTGCCACTTTGTCCCAAGTCTGTCTTGGAGGTCTGCCCTGGCATTCAGACGGCCATTTGTACCTTCACAGGCCCAGCCAGTCGCCTGTTGCTGACAGCGGGGGACGCGGCCTGGCAGTTTCATGCCTTAAAAGTAGTTTTGTGCAAATCAGCTCCTCTCGGCCCTCCTCCCCTTTCTTTTTGAACCCCCATTACCCACAGGATTTCCAGGCACCAGAGAAAAGAAGCTGGTTTGATTTAAGCTCACAGAGAGGATGGGAGCTGGGGGTGGGGGTGTGTGTGTTTATATTTTCCCTGCATCCATTAGGACCAGTGGCTGAAGGGGAGGGGGGCGGGGGGGGGATTGGAGGAGGGAGAAACTTCATTTATATGTTAATAGTTGCCAGCACCGGGGCTAAACTGACAGAACTATTTCATGGGAAACTGACAAATTTTGTCAGCCAGGCTGTGCCTCCACATCTCAATGGGGCAATAATCTTGATTAGCAAAACAATTGGGGGCCTCGGGTTCCCGCTCAGGTTACACTTGGCCAATGTGAGGCAAGGCTGGGGCCTTCAAGCTTGAACACATTTTCAAAAGCCACTGAGTTTAGGCAAATGAAGGGAGCCGTTCGGGTGGGGGTGGGGGGAGGGGGGTGACGGACCAAAGGGGTTAATTTGATTGACCGAATCTTCACAGCCTTATAACAATCATTTACTTAGTAAGTAATTCCGCAAGAAACCAGTGGCGCCCACAGGAAATTGGAGTGCAGATATGTTTGCCCCAGATGTGTGGGAATTTTAGCTGCCTCCCCCTTCCACTTGCCAACTCTGAAAAAAAAAAAATCGCAACCCCCTTGGGGCTGTAATTACCACATACAGAATAAGTCGTCATCTAAAAATACACACACAACACCCACGAACAGAGTCACTGCAGCCACCGCTGTAACTTCATCTTGACTCAGTATCGGCCTTTATTTTTATGATTAGTTCATAGTATTGCTCATTAAAGCTGGAAATTGATGATGTACTTTTCCTTCTAGGAACTCGGACTGCCTCAGAAAGCTCTGGTTGGTTGGTTTATTTTCAGTGTGACCAACTGGCCCTGTTTCTGTTTGTAAACATACCCTTGGAAAGGGCTTGGGGTTCCCGGAGGGCTTTGGTGCTGGGAGAATCCTTTAGAGGAGATGCTCCACTCAGGGGTGAAAGAGAGGGACACACGAAGGTCCCCCACCTGTCCAGTGGGGAGCCTGCCTTTCCTGTGACACCAATCCTGCGACCTTCCATTGCCCAGGCCTCGTGGAAAAACAATTGTTCAATGCAATCGATCAACTGAATGTAATCTTTTTGTTTTGAAATAATTATAGACGCATAAGAAGTTGCAAAAGTAATACATTGAGGTCCTGTGTGCCTATTACCTTGGTTCCCCTAATGGTGACATCTATAGTCCATTAATAAAACCAGGAAATTCATTGGCGCAATCTGATGAAATACTGTAGACCTTACTCAAATTTCACCTTTTGTGTGTGTGTGTGTGCGCTAATTTTTCCATGTCTTTGTGTATCATTTTATATTGCATTTGTTTTATAATCTAATAAATACACCAATCTTGAGATTTCAGAGTTGGAAAGGCTTTGGCAATCACTTCATCTACTGCCTTTCCCAATCCCACCCCTGCCTCCCAACAATCATCTCTATAACCCCTTTGATTGTTGAGTTCCCTCTGAAAACAAATAATCTTTAAGATGTTTTTAAAGCTTCCCAACTGATTCCCGTATGCAGTGGAGTCCTGCCTCAAGGAATTGAAGATATCCCACACCCTACATAAGCAGGGTTGCCAGATAAAGCACAGGGCACCCAGTTAAATTTGAATTTCCGATTTAAAAGATGAATGACAACTTAGTATAAGTGTGTCCCAAATATTGCATGGGACATAGTTATACTAAAAATATTTGTTGTTTATCTGAAATTCAAATGTAACCCCCTGTTTTTTATTTGCTAAACCTGGCAACGCTATACACAGATCTTTTTCTCTCCAGGCCAAACACCTGATGTGTTTGGCATCTGATGTGTTTCCAAAATTCTTCACCAGTTTGTCACGCTTTGTGGCAATGGCCTAGGGTATCACACTTCATTTGCCAGCGTGGCTCTGGTAACATGTCCCTTAGCTCTGGACTCCCCTCCTAGCCGTTTGTATGTGGAGCCTGGTTTTGGATTTTTCTGCTCAACATATTCCTCTGTGATCTTTTCCTTAGCCCTAGCTCTGGCTCTTTCTGTGCCCCAAATGGGGGGAATGAGGAGTGGTTGGAACAGCCTCGGATGTGGGTTAAGCACGTCTGCCTCCTTGTTCTTTGGATAACCCTGCCCTGTAGTTCCCGGAACTACCTCAGGGCACATGTCCTAGCACGTGGCTACAGAAAGTGTGATTCTTGGGTGAAAAGCATTGGAATTATCTGGAAGCTTATCGGCGTAGGGGATAAAAATTTTGTCCTCTACGCTCTTAGGTCTAGTTATTGGGGGCCTGCAAATTAAACCGACAGCAGACGGACTAACAAGAGAAAAGCATACAACTTTTATTAACATGTGCCGAATGTATATGCGGGAGAACTCCGCGATGAGTAGCTCAAATGGCCGGTTAGAATTTGGGGTTTAGAAACCTAATTTAGTAGGGAAAGAGTGCAGAGGAGGGCACTTATGGAAAAGCAAGTGACTTTTTGGAAAGACAAATGTGACCTTAGGAGAAGGTATGGGAGATATGATAATCTTGTGACAGTATCTGTTTGGGTGTGGTGCTGACTTTTGCTCTTACAGGATGGAAGATGAGAGGGATTTCTAACAATTGCGTTCTTTTGGGAGGCTCCGCTTTTGGCAGATAAGGGATTTCCAGAACTCAAACACCTTCAGCTCAAAATAATTCTTTTGTCAACGTGGCATCTTTTGGGGCGGCGTGTTCTGATCCATTTTGATCAGGAACGCTGACTCCCAGGCCCCACCCCACATCCACTGGACGGATCTGCATTTGAACTAGATTGTTAGGGAGCCTCACGCACATCAAAGCCTGAGAAGCGCTGTTCTAAGTGCAGCTTCCTTAAAAGCAGCTCTAACATGTAGTGATTCCTGTTAGGGAATGAGTCTCTGTCTTAAATACATGGGTTTTCATGGTCAGTCGTCTTGGAAATGGTGGACAGTCTCACCGTCGCTCACCCAGGGAGATGCTAGTACAGACGAGAGGAATCCAGGAGGCAGGCAGGCGCGGCGAGTCCAGCGCGTCTTCGGCCTTGTCTGGTAGGTGTGGATGTTCAGGAGCGTTCTGACAAGGCGCTTGACGGTGCGTCTAGGGGATGAGGAGCTGGCACCTGGAAGCAGGTCAGAGGTGCTGCCAGGTGAGGGCCTGCCAGACTGAAAAGCCAGCCAACCTTAATCATGCTTCTCTCTGTTTATTTCTCCCACCTCACCTTGATGCTCTGAGGGACTTAGGGAAAGTTTTGTGCCCAAAGTGGGGGTCAGCCGTAGACAGTGGGCAGTAGCACCTGCTCTCCCTCAGTCCAGGCCAGCGTGGAGGTGACAGTAGCACTCAGGGGTAGCCACTGCAGAAAGTAAGAGCTGCAGCTGCAGGTTTCACTCTCCATCCCCATGAGGAGACTCTTCCCTCCCCATTAACTTGAAAAACTCGTTTTATTATGGAAGGTGGCAATTCTGTAAGGCTCTTAACAACTTTCAAAGTTAACTCCTGGGAAATCCAGGTTTGGAATTATCTTCTGTATTTCCCCAGAAGCTGAATTCAACTATAAGAAATAGGAAGGTCCCCAAAGTATATTTGCATGTCATTTGCATTTGTATTCTCTACCTCCTCCGGCTTTAAGGTGATGGAACTAGCCCATCATTTATTCCAAAATACGTGATTCATCTTTTTTAATTAGCAAAGGCCAGCAAGCTTGACTGTTTAGAATCTGAGGCCAAATGCTGCAAATTGGCAAGTACCGGATTCATGGATTAATTCAGCCTAAGTTTTTGTTTCGCTTTGCTTTCTGTTGCGTCAGGTTCTAACATGTTGAAGCGGAAGAGGTCTCAGAACCCCTCTAACTCAGTGAAGACAAAAGGCTTCATCTTTCTGTCCAGCCCTGGTAGAATAAGGGTGGTGTGGAGAGAAATCTGAGGTTCTATCTCAGCAGACAAGAGGGACGCCTAGGAATGATTAGCGATGTCTGCATGCGCAGCTGTGTGGAAGGAAAGCAGCTCTATGCCCGGTGTTCCCAGCGCAGAGCAGGGCCCGTCCCTGATGTCACTCCCAAGGGACCTCTTAAATGCTGGAGAGTGGGAGTGACTTCAGGTCACCCGGGAAGTCATTGGCACAGCCAGGAAGTTCCCCTCTTGACTTCAATTCCAGTTCCCTTGCCCTTATACAAATGAATTCTTCTCTTCTCCATCTACACTGATTGAAAGTACGGATCAGTTGCTAAAACCCTGGTTCTATTGGTACCTTACAGTCACGCCCTTAGCTTACTGCTTATATAGACAGCGAGCATCTCCCAACCGTCAAACAGTAAGTGCTCAAAACATTTCGGATGGGTTAGGAAAATGATCTTTGTACACACAGTAATGTCACACACAGAAAAGGAGGCCTTAGGTTCAATTTTCCTTAACATGGTTATAATGATTTTATAACGTAGTTGAATGATTTTAAAGTTACAAATTAGTAATGGTGATTTATAATTATTTTGTTTAATATGCACAAGTGTACTCTGCTCCCCAATCAGCTGACTTGAAATTGCATGCCACTTATGACAAAGGGAAGAGGACCAGATGAGGCAACAGAAATAAAACAGTGCAAATCTATCTCTATTTCTAGGAAAACAGCTCAAAGAGCAAGCCCTGAGAGAGGCGGGTGGACAATGATATGTTTGTTCAGATTTTTTTTTTATTAAAAAAATAAACCTACTGTTTGCATGTGGCACAGAGCTAGGATTGTTCAACGAAGAATTATCAATATATGGTGATGTCTCAATTACTTAGTTATTTTTATTAATTATTTATGATTGTTATTTGTTTTATTAATTGGTCCTCTAGGAACAGACTTCTAAAGCCAGTTCTCCAAGAGCTGGGGGCAATTCCAGCTGCTTTTGTCCTGGGTGGCAGCTACGGCCGAAACCAGAATTATCCCTCCAATACCCTTTTATAATACGAACAGTGTTACCTCAGCACAAGATTGCCCAGTTAAAAATGCTTTTCCCAGATTCCCCTGCAACTAGGTGTGGCCATGCGCATAGGTTCTGGTCAGTGGGAATTGAGTGGAGATGATGTATGCGACTTCCAGGTGGTGAGTCTAAGAGGAAAGAGTGTTCTCTCTCACCTTTGCCCATCCCCCCTTCCTCTGGCTGAAATGTAGATGTGGTGGCAACGCTAGGATGGCAACTGTCAACAGCCACTGAGAAGGAAGCTGCATGTTGGGGTTGGCAGAGAGAGTGGCTGTGTCTCTCACACCACTGAGGTGCCATATTAGTTCTGGGTCATCCAGAGAAATAAACGTTTATCTTGAGTCACTGCATCTGGGGAGCTTTTACTCGCAGCAGCCAAACTTGCACCAGTGACCACAGCTGAGGAGCATCGAGTGCAGCATCTCGGGGGCAGATTTCTGTTGGGGTCGCTACACGCACTCACACACGTCTACTCCTCCGAAAGCCATGCTGGGGTGTGGTCTGTTCCTTTTAGGTGCTTGTGTCATATGAGCAACAGGTTGCAAATCTTCACTGACAAAGAGCACTGGCAGGCAGTCTCTCCATGGTCATTAATCAGATCATTCTACCCCTGGTTAAAGCTCCCTCCTGGTTTCTCATGCCACCCACGTGGAAGTCCGGGTCCCTTCCATGGTCTCCAAGGCCCCACGTGATTTTGGCCCTGCCTGCCCTTCCACCAGCACTTTCTACTCTCCCTGTTTCCCATCCACTCCGCTTCAAGGCTATGGCCGTTTTCGTGTCACAGGTGGGACCTGACGGTGCCTTCTGTGTGGTCTCTCCCCTGGATCTTCCGCAGCCGCTTCTTGTGTCAGTAGTTCAAATGGCGACTATTTCAATAGCAGGCCTGTCTGAAGCCCTATCTGAAATCCATCTGGAGTCCTCCTTCCCTCTCTCCCCATGAGTTTGTTTCATCTGCGCCTCAGAGTGTCACCATCCCAGATCATCTTATTGATTCATTTGCTTATTGTCTCGTCTCCTATGAGAATGTCAGCCCCATGACGGTGTGGGCTTAGTGTTCCAGTGTCTATGAAAGTGCCTGGCACACCGTAGGTACTCAACAAATACTCACTGAATTGTAGAATGGAACCTTATGATGTCTTACTGTTGTTGTTTAAGTTGGACCCACAATAAAGTGGAGGGGCAGGTGCCCAGAGCTCCTAGGAGGTGCCAGTGCTTTCTCGGAGCCTGGCACGAGTGCGCTGACCCAATGCGCTGACCTGCTCTGTGGACACTGGCCTTTGCCTTCTAGGAGCTAACCTTCCAGCTTCCCACCTGTTGGGGTAGCTTGCCTAGATTACAGTCTCCGTGAATGTCTTTAATTTGCAACATGAATCCGCTCAAAGGACAGCAGACATCATAATACATCTACATACACGAATATAAAGGCCCACAGCTGTGGCCAGCAATTTTGTGTTTTGGGCATCTTTGCATCTGAGTGTGGAAAAAAAAAATGTTTTTGAACTCTGATCTTGAGTCAGACTTGATCACTGCTGATGAATGACAAAGCAGTGCTGATTTTGTCTGGAGTTTTTCTGTGAAATACAAAGGGAGAAAGAAACCAGAATAAAGATTTGCAATAAATATATTGACAGAATTCAAAGCAAAGATAATAGATTTGGTCATGTTCCCAGCATCATCCTTGGGGGGTGGGGATGGCAGGAAGCTTGCTCAGCCAGAGCGGCGTTTGGTTATAGATTAATAATCCAAGGTACAAAAAGTGCGGGACAAATTAGAGAAAACATAAACGACAATATTCAACAAACTGAAGTTCAAAGGTTCCTGGAATTTGCAAAATGTTGTTGGTCATACATTTTTTAAAAGTGATGACACAATACAAAGTTTTTGAACTTTGCCACACAAATAGCAAGTAGATTTTTGCTTGAATCATATTAAAGAATTATGCAACTGTTATTAAAAAAAAAAAACGGGGTGGAGGAAACCAGTGGAAAAATTTGAAACTGCCAACCAATAAGTTGCTAGCAATCGAAGACTAATCTGACAATTCTGCTGTTGCAAATGTGCATGTAGTTTATGTTCCGTGCTGCACGGTGATTGAGAGCATCGCTTTGCGCTCATCTGTGGACCCCATCTGGCTCTGACACTTACTGGCTCCATGGTCTGGGGCATCTGACTGAGCTCAGTTTACCGAAATGGTCTTTAAGCCCCATGAGTGATGCCAGCCAGGCACATTTAACTTCTTCCCAAACCCACTTTTATTTCCCCACTGATGCAGCCTCCACACTGTAAAGCGCTATCTTCATAATACAGATAAGGTCATGTCACACACCTTCTTGAAAACCCTTACTGTCTTTGAATGAAGGTGAAGAACAAAATTCTGAATGTAGCCCACAGGCTAAGCATGCCCTCCTCTGCCGCCTCCCAGTCTGTTCACGTGGCCCTGTGTTCCTCTTCTCTCTGCTCCAGCCACGCCGGGCGTCCCCGAGGCCCCTCAGTGCACCATGCTTGTTGCTGTGGCAGCGCCTTTGCTGCCACTCCTCTGTTTCCCTAGAGTTCTCTTTCCCCTTCCGTTTCCCTAACTCATCTTTTTGAGTTCAGTTGAATTGTAAACTTCTTAGAGGCCCTCCTCTGACCTTGTAGGCTTTTCTATACTGCTCCCTTATTGCATACACCCAGGTGGACTCTAACAGTGAATTGTTTAATTGGTGGTTATTGTCTGCTCTCTGACTAGACTGGGGGTCCCGTGAAGACAGGGGTGGCAGCTGGCTCTTTCGCTACATCCGCAGCACTCAGGATCATTTCAACTGCAAGTGACCAGAAATTTAACAAATAATTGGCTTACATTAAATAAAAAAATAAAAAATAAAGGTTGTTTTTTTTTTGAGTGTATATAAAGGCAGGATTCAGACTTCAGATGCTGAAATAGCATCATCAGAATTTCCTCCCTTTCTGCTTTTCTTCCCTCTGTTTTCCTGTGTTCTGTCCTCAGCCAGGCCTCCCACTGTGACCATCAGCAACAGAAGATGCAGGTTATATTATATTATAGGAGCCTAGCACCCCCAGGGGAGAGGCGCTATTTCTTCTCAATAGTTCCAGAAAAGCTCCATGGAAAATTCTCTTTAGTTTATCTTTTTGTTTTGTTTTGTTTTGTTTTTAAACTTTATTGGGGAACAATGTGTTTCTTCCAGGACCCATCAGCTCCAAATCAAGTTGTTGTCCTTCAGTCTTAGTTGTGGAGGGCACAGCTCAGCTCCAAGTACAGTTGCCATTTTCAGTCTATTTGCGGGAGGCGTAGCCCACCATCCCTTGTGGGAGTCGAACCGACAACGCTGTTGCTCAGAGCATGCGCTCTCACCAACTGAGCCACCCGGCTGTCCTCTTTACTTCATCTTAATCATATCACCTCTCTGTTGTGGACTGAATGTTTGTGACTCCAAAAATTCATATGTGAAAACCGTACCTCCCAATGGTAGGAACGGGGACTTTGGGAGTTATTTAGGATTAGCTGAGGTCACAAGGGTGGGGCCCTCATGATGGGATTGGTGCCTTTATAAGAGTCACCAGAGGGCTTATTTCCTCTCTTGGCTTTTCACCATGTGAGGCTACAAGGAGAAGTCAGCAGTCTGTGACCCAGAAGAGAGCTCTCGCCAGAACCCAGTTATACTGGCTCCCTGATCTTGGGCTTCTAGCCTCCACAGCTGTGAGAAATAGTCTGTATTTTGTAAGCCACTGGTTCATGGTACTTTGTTATAGCAGTCTGAACAGACTAGGAGTCTCTCTTTGGAGAGAGGGCTGTGCGCTGATCGACTGGGTATGTCTAGGTCATATGCCACCTTTGAAACTGAAAGATGGGTTATTCACCTTGAACTCCATGGGCTGAGGAGAGAGTAGTTTGATTGTACAAAAGAAAAGTGAGGTGTTACTAGCAAAAGCCGAAATACAGTAAATGCAGACTGGAGAAAGCAGTAAGCATCCTCTGTGGAACTCACCCAAGTCAAATGAAGGAATTCTTGGCTCCCACCTCCTCACTCTCTTCCTGTTGTGTGAGTGGGCGGAACTCTGTCTTCTCCCCCATACGATGGACAGTCCATGCAAAGCATCCTGCTTGCCATGTTTACTGGGATGGTATTGAGGAGAAGCTAGTAGGGTTGTTCAGTCCTCTGTGTATTAAAGCAGGTAAGATCAGAGTTATCAGGATCTTCTCTTACATCTGAACCCTCACATACAAGATCAAGTAAACCCTGTAATGAGACAAATGTCCAGGCTCTCAAGCTGGGGGTTCTTAGGAAATAAACATATTAGGCAACTCACTGGTGTCAATAAAAGTAAGAAATATCACCAACCTTCATTTAAGAGCTGACACTCACTCATTAGCAGTATGACGCTGGGCAAGTGTGACAGGTGCCGATGGGAGCTGGACCACATCCTGTTCAACCTCCTCTCCCAGGGACCTTCTAGCAATGGTGCTTGGGGGTCTTTTGGGCAGAAGAGATGTAAGAAAAAGTCCCTGGGTGGGGCTTCTGGAGGTGCAAGTAGCTATGCTGTGATCACGAAGAGGAAAAGCACACACAGATCCTTATCTCAGAATCAGAGGATTTTTATTTGTTTTTTGCTTTAGGTTTTCCAAGCTGGCTTACTTAGTGTTCAGGCTAAGGCACACAGATAATGGCTGCCAGTATGACGTGTAATAACACTGATTCACAATCCACCTCTGGCACCTCCATTTTCTCACATTGGCAGGAGCCTTTTTTAAAGAGAGTGGAGTGATCATCTGGAAAAAAAAAATCTTCTTTGCCCCGTGAAAGTGCAATGCGTTTAAAAACTTACCATGATGGTTGTTTAGGTCCTGAGTGTTTAAAAAATGTTTTATGATAATTTGAGGAAGCTTTCCTATGGCATTTGGTTAAATTTCTTGTACGTTCGCTTTGGTTTGGAAAATTGCCAGGTTGCATTAATATAACTATAAGGAGATTGTCCTTGGTGTTTTCCTTAGCAATGATACAATTCCAGTTCTGTTTTCACTGCCGAAGCCAGAAGATAAAAGAGACCTCTATTCTAGCTGTAAAAGATGTTATGTTTATTTCTTTGCTTGTCACTGAAGTGGCAGTCTGCTGCTCGGTCATAACGGCGCTCAGTGGTAGTAATGAACAAAACCGGGATGTACTGAGAGTCCGGTAGGCGCTCTCACGCCTGTGCAGCGGGTGGAGGTACTGGGAAAAGATAAAACACCGATCCTCTGAGGTGAGCTTGGGAAACAGCAACACTGAACTCCACCCAGAGGACATTTTGAAGTGATGGTGCTTCCTACTTCATGTCAGTGATCCATGAATTGTTTCTGGCACAGAATCACAGGACGTTGACAGGAGGGACATTATTCTAGAAAAAAAATAGAACAATGTAAGGGAACAATGTAAAGGCTGTCTAGTCCAAAGCCCTCATATCAGGGCCATGGCCCTGAAGCCCAGAGTGGGAGGATGGCCTGCCCAAGGTCACACAGCCATTTAGTGACGAGCTAGGGATAACGCGGGTCCCTGAGATTTGCTGTTATTTAATCCCATCGTAATGGCTGTGATCAAAGGACATAGCTTCTCTCACACATCAAGAAATAACTGGACTTAAAATCAAGTTGGTTAGGTGACTAGCGAACTATGTCTGCTATGAAGGAGGTATCCATAGTCACCCGCTCAGGTCTGCTCATGCACGTGATTTTATTTCTGCGTGACAAGTCCTCATTTGAATGCACAAGTGAACAAACATACCCTGTGGAAAGATCATTAACTGAGCTGTGGCGGGGCCCACAGGTAGGAAACCACACGTTTGTGTGCATCCTGGAGATGGTGGCGATTGGGGCTGTGCTCCCTGCCCTACTGAGGGTTCTGGGTTCCAGATACACCAGCTCCCTCTCTTAGATAGTGGTCCCCTATCTGCACTGAAACACAAAATCTGTATCTGCAGAACAATGTGCATTCATCTATCTATCATCCATCTTCCTCTGATACATGTGATTGTGTGTATGTGCGTGTGTGTGTGTGTGTGTGTGTGTAAATTGATAAGGACACACACACAGATTTCCTTATCAGAGGGTTTCATTTGTCAAGAACTTTACAAATACAAACAGGCAAACAGTTTTATTTCCCCCCAGTTACTACCTTCTGCGTCACATACGGGTTTTGTAGGGTTTGGCATATCACGTTGAAAACTCCTGCTTAAATATGAGTGAAATTAAATTAAAAGTGAACCTAATGAACAACTTTGAAGAGGAAAAGAAGCATTTAAGACGAGTCTGGTGGACTCCTTTGTGTGGAAAGGAGAAAAAGAACTGATCGCGTCTCAGTGCCTGTGCCTCTCATTCTGCTTACTTTTGATTTGTTTTCATGCCTTTTTGTTCCCCATCCGCCAGCTCCTCCTAGAGCAGCAAGGAGGGCCCTAGCCCACTACCCACCTGAAGCCCCTACCCACCTGGTTCAGGCACTCCCAGGGCACTGCTGCCACCACAGATAAGTTGGGCGCAAGCCCCGTAATTTTAGGATCTACTGAAAATCAGAGCCCAGGCTTAGAATTTCTCTCCACATTCCAAAAGTTAAAAAGGAAAAACAACAACAAAATCAACAAACAGCCCGTGGCAAATACTTTGAGTTCTCTTTGTGCTAATTTTGTACTAATATCAAACTCTGAAACTTCTGACCGTACAAAGAGGTTTTTATTTTAAATCCAAAGAACAAATGACCTCTTCAAATTCATAATGAGGCATGCATTGAACGGAACACAGCCCAAGGTGAGTCATTCATTAATCATAAACAAAACAGCCCCTGATCAAGGTCACATCAGAACACACTGTAAAAAGAGGCGAGGTTGCCCAATCCTTTTATTTAATATTAACTACATTATGTTTTTCATGTGAGTTCTGAGAAGGTGGTTTTCTCACTTTCTTTGTAGCCAGCCCAGTGTGAATGGATAATTACTCCCCTTAACGCTGTCTCCCCTGAAGGCTAACCCTGTTCAACAAGACGAGACCCAATCTCCTCTCTCGGGGAGGGGTGGGGGTGGGGGTGGGGTGCATCCAAAGCTGAAGACTTAGCAGGAATCCCTCAAGCATAAAAACATCTGCCAACAGGAATATTTCAGGTGACATGAATAATATTTGTGATTAATAACATCTAACCAGAGAAGCACAATCCAAGAAATACATGATTAGCTGATTACAGATACCTGATATGCTAATTATCTTCAAAAATTTCATCTCTGATGCCTGTTTTGGCAGAAATTTGAGTAGAGGAAGAGGAAATTTAAACTTTTATATAAGTTGGAAACAAAGCATTGGGGCGATTGGACTTGAGAAGACCTGAGAATGGTATTTGGTATTTAATTCTGTCGGATGAGGAGGAAATTAAATAATGAGAATAGACATCAGTGTGAAGATTGAAACTTGAGTCAAAGAGAGCTCAGGGGTTGTCATCAGAGGTCCCTCCATTCCTTCCTTGACAAAAGCCTTCTGGCACTGAAATGGGCAGTAACATGATGTGGTTTGGCAAGTTTCGCCTGGGTGCGTTGGAGGGCTGTGTGTGTCACTGCTTTCCTCGGGTCTAAAGGATTGGCTCCCGCATCCCAGCATTCCCAGCGGAGACCCTGCACTGCCAGCTCTCTTCTCATTTGCTCTGGCCTCACCCATGTCCCAGCCAGGTGTTAGATGACACTGTCACAGAACGTAATGGGGGACCCAGGAGGTTACACAGCTCCTTAGTGGCGTGGCCAGAGCAAACTCGGTCATTTTACTGAGGGAAAAGCTGGGTTCCAAAAAGGGTCAGTAAGTTACCCAAGATCCCCAAAGGGTGACCGATTTCTGGCTGTTTGCTATGGGAACAGTGAATGAATATCACTCTGGATCATTTGTTTAACCACAAATGTTCTCAGTCTCCCCTTCCAGAAGTTTACAATCCAGAGAGACAGTTTGGTGTTTATGGCAAACAAAACAGGTTAAAAACAGCCCTTGGTTAGACAGTAAACTAGGAGAGATGGACTCTGGCAGAGAGAGTCCCCATCTCTGGCCCTCCTTTCTGTGGTCCAACTGACTTCCCTCTGTGTTTCTCCATCATCCCCTAAACTGGATTGGGTTATCTTTGTATTCTAGATCCTGGAAGAAAAGAAATCAGATCAATGCTAATCAGCTCTCCAAAATGCTTCAAGAGTAGGGAAAAAAAAGAAAGAAAAAAAAAAGTTATTTTTTCCCCCTTCTTTCAAACGTGCAGCTTCTGGCTCAGACCTTGCACGTAGTAGGTGTTTTCCAGAAATTGCAGCAAATCTAGATGCGTGCAGGAAACAGGTTTAGTAAAAGTGGTTTTGTCCCCAGGTACTTGGAGTAAGGAAGCTAAGGCTCACCCTGACATGCCCCTGCTTCAGGCGGGGGCAGCACGGATGCAGGGGAAGTCAGTGAAATGACTCTTGCAGTTACTGCCGAGGCTGCAGTCACTGCTGCCTGCACCAGCGCCAGCGTGCGTGTTGTAGGCAGCTTTGATTGAAAAGTTAATCAGCAGGCTTGAGTGTCTATAAGTAAAGAGGAGAGAGAATGATTTAAATACTTGATGAAAAAAATTTTTTTCAAAGCCTTAAACCCCAAACACCTTAAAGTGTAGAGATATCGAATTAAGACACAATGAAAGATGGATTGTGGCAGGTTTTATTCAGAACAATAAAGTTTTCAAGGAGAAAGTGGTCTTGGGAGCAGGAATTCAGCTCATCATGGAACTTAAGGAAGATGGGGAAGAAAAGGAGGAGGGAGTTGCCAGCTGGGTGGGTGTGTTTGTGGGTACAGGATAGACCAGCCACTGCCAGAGATTTTGTGACCCCCACCCCCACCCCAAGACAGTCTGAGGGCTCAGGGGTGTAGCTGAGCTGACCTTTTCCTGCGCTAGTTTACATAATAGTGAACGCCCTGAAGTGAACAACAGCTGGGCAGTCACAAAGAGGACAAACTTTGCAGGTTGAAGTGGTCAGCCAGGCTTCCTGGGGGGAGGAGGAGAAGAGGGCAGCTACTTGAGGGGGGCATTGAAAATGGTCTTTTTGGAGTCGGAAGTACCATTCAAGTTATCAGGCACAACCCTTTATTTAGCTGATGATTTGGAAAAAGGACAAACGTGCCAGGTGGTAGGAAACAAGCGACTGAAATGGAGTGTTTTTTTCTCAGTCTCTGCTACGTCCTCAGGGAGGTTCATTGGCCATTAGTAAACTGGTGGTGTGGAGTAACAATCATACATAGCGTTTGTTCCGTGTTTACCGCAGCTGGTCTGTGCTCGGTACTTTTTAGGCAGTCTCTCATTTACTCCTCCCAGCCACCTCATGTGGCCATTAATTAAACTGCATTTCCTTTAAGAGATGAGAAAACTGAGCATCAGGAAAACAGAATGACTTGTCCAGTGTCACAGCAGTTTGGAGCTAGGATTGAAAGCTCATGCATTAACCCAACTGCCCTGCCTGAAGAACCTTTTGGTGTATTTCAAATCTGCTCTGAAGCAGAACAGGGAAATAAAAGTCTCTAACAGGGCTGGCCAGTTAGCTCAGTTGGTTAGAGTGTGGTGCTAATAACACCAAGGTTGCCGGTTTGATCCCCGCCTGGGCCACCGTGAACTGCGCCCTCCTGAAAAACAAGAAAAAGAAAACAAAAAAGTCTCTAACAGATAAGAGAGCCAGTTCACCTAGTGATGTAAATTCATGTCACGTGCTTAGCACAGCACGTTTTCATTTAATAAAGTATCCACTCTAGAGTCTATAAGACAATAGGTACTCAAATGTTACTATAACGACTGGTGTTGTAACACATGAGCTTTACTTCCTATCGCCTTCCCCCATAGAACCAATGCCCTTGCCAACCCTTGTCCATTTCCCTCTGATTCCTCACACTCAACGTACCTTTGGGACTCTGCGCCCTTTGTCATGATGTTTCCTTAGCTCTGGGTGCCATTTCTTCATTTTTCTTTTTTGTCCATTAAAACTTATTCTGCAATACCCAGCTCAGGAACTGCTTGTCCGTGGTGTTTGTCCTGACCTCATTGACTTCCTCACTTTTCCCGTAATCAGAATGCCTCCTCCTTAGTGAAAATTCCAGGCTTCGGGTTACGCCTTGATTGGCCCTGATTAATTTTTCTAGCATCCTGCTGAGATGTAGACAAGTTCATTCCCCCAATTCGATCCTGAGATCCTTGAAGTCTGGATGTTGCTTGCTAATATTTATTCTCCTCACCCTTCACCCTGCCCAGCCTCTAGAACTGGGCTGGCACTTAGTAGGCACTCAATGATTAACTGGGATTGCAGATGAATTTTGGGAATTCTATCTTAAAACCCCAGTGTTTTCTATACAGAGGTTGCTCAATACACTGTTGTTGGATATTGAGTCCTTACCAGGACGGTGCTGCTCAGAGCAGTAGCTCCACCCTTTAGAAGACAGGACTTTGCAGCATGGGATCAGGGTATGTTCTGAACAAGAACGACTGGCAGAAAAAGAGTGACAGAAAGCAGCACAGGATGGGGACTGAGCCACAGTGTGGCTACTGAAACAGGACTGTTGAGATGTTGGCCCCAGAGCAACCATTACCATGGCAACTAGAACTAGGGCTGCGTAGACATCTACCCAGCTTCCTAGATGGTCATCCTGGGTAGGTTGGGGTCAGGGAAATTGGTACCCCCTGGGAACCTGCTGTGCTAAATACATCACATTTCACTCCTCGTCCCCAGGGGAGCTGTTGGTGTCACACATTCCATCAGGCATTTCAGCAACCCCCAAATCACTGCTTTACAAAAGCATCTTTTGATTGACTCATCAACTACCAAACAGCAAAGACACGCCTGTCACTGCGTGGGGAGCAGCACTTAGCCATGGGAAGCGTGCAGAGGCTGGGGGTTTGAGCTGTGGCGTGGGGGGTACAGCCAAGAAGAGCACTTGGTCCAGACACCCCAAACATCCTGCCCGTGACCTGGCTCACAGACAGGAATGAAACAGAGTGTGAGAGCAGTCTGTTAGAATAGGAACATTAATACCCTAATAAACAGATACTTACTGAGCACTTATCAGTGTTAAGTGTTGTACATACACATTAAATTAAATTAACTGTAATTTAACCCTTAAAAAAGCCCTATGGAGAGGGAATGCTATTTCCATTTTACAGATGACAACATGGACGTTCAGACACGTTAAGCCTCTTGCCCAAAGTCAAACAGCAAAAAGGAGGTGAAGCAAAGACGTGGAGCCCGGTCTTCCTGACCCTGGTACGCCAGCATCTGAACATTTCGGTTTGCTTTGTTGGGGAGCAGCCTCAGTCCAGGACCTGGTTGTACTCAGAGGACTCGAGCTTGAGAATAGATGAAAACGTACCCAGGGAATCCCTGCTTTCAAAGGGCTACCTTGTCCCTTTTTCCTCACAGATGAAGTACCTGCTCCTTTTCTCTACAGTTCAGCATGCAAATCACCATCTGCATAATATTCTGTTTCAAACTGTTAGGCGCTAGGTAATTACAGTTTACCCACTGGCCATATTTAATTTTTCCAATGTGTTTTCATTCATTCTCCCCCTTCTGGGACCTTTTGTATTTTTTTTTTCCAAAAGAGGAAAATTCTTAGTCATTAATCTAGCACTAAAGTATTTAATTATTATTATAGATATTATCTTTTAACCGGGAAGACTATTTAGAAGCATTAAAGAAGATTTTGGATAAAAATAAACAGAGCAAATATTCAACCACTCTAATATAATTCCATTTATTTCCTGCGTTTTATCTTGGACAATTGGACCAAAGAGCTACATTGTCACATAGGCATTATATACATAAACTTGTTTTATATCTTTCATAAATTTATGTCATTTTATTTTTTTAATGTTAATAAAAGGATTCCATTGCTTTGATTCCATTTCCCAAATGGTGCTCCACTTCCTTGATGTTTAGGTTGCGTCTCCTTTTCAGATATTGTAGCTAACACAGCGACTACTGTCTTACACAAACATTTCTCTTCGATTTCCTAAAGCGATAATTTATGTTCCCAGGAGACTTTGCTGTGTCCTTCCCACCTGATTTTTAAGAGTTAGCAGAGGACCCTTGAATTTGCTAAGAAACGATTTTATACCACTTTTTGGGTCTTTTTACTAAGCCAAACACCATTGGGCACCAAGATGGCACGGTCCTCAAGTCACCGTTGCTCTCTGATGACGAGCTGCAGCATCCAGGGGTCCCCCCTGGGCACTTCATGAACCCAGCTTGCCTGTGAGAGGGTCTCCGGTGCATGGGTTAACGGTGGTTAGTGCCACGTACTCTATATGCCAGACACCGTGCCAAGTGGTTTGCACTCAGCACAGTGCTCTACACATAGTAGGCCCACAGGCAATATTCGTTGGGTGATTGTGTGATCTCCTTTCTTTCTCAGAATACCTTCGACGTCATTCTAATGATTAGTCCCATTTCAAAGATGAGAACACCAAGGCTTTGGGGTAACTTGCTAGAGACACACGATTAGTAAATGATGATGCTAATCTGGATCCTGTTTGGCTTGACTCCAGAGATTGTCCTCCCTCTCATAAAAAATGAAAGACCTCAGCCTGCTTTCGCCATGTTCTGTGTTGCTCATGGGTGGGAGTGCATCTGTATATTTTCTTCTTTTTATTTTTTTAATTTCATCTCATTTCTGGAAATCTTTATGAGATTCCAAAATAACCCCAAATTCAAGGTTTTATTCTGTTTTTGTTGCAAGTCTTTAAAAAGTGACCGAGGGACCAGGAGAACAGGAGTATTAAATTGCCTAGTGTGTCTCACCGACAACTCTGAGGTAAGCCTGGCATCAATGTACCCACTGGACAAATACATTAGAAGCTCTCATCTGTACCAGGTACAGGGCTAGGCATGAGGAATACAGACAGATGAAAGATCTCTTATCAAGATCTCCAATGAAGGCAGAGCAGAATAAGGAGAATGATAAGTGAACAATAGTTACTTAGCATGAAGGGTACTCATCACCTCCACCAATGCCCTTTATAGAGGCAGAGAGCAGCTGGGTATCTGTATGGAAGCATTAGCCTCAAATCCAACCCATCACTTTCTTATTTTGCCTCATCTTAGATAATTCTTCAAGTCCTGCATGGCATCTTTCCATACTAATGCTTGCTTCCTCCCCTCCCCCCTTCCATTAATAATTATCTACGTAATGCATATGCCATGTGATACAGTTATCAGAAAGTGATGTTACCTGAATATACACATACAAAACAATATGAGAAGCTACTTTTCTAAAAGAACAGATAACCTTAAACATTAATAAGTGGAAAATCTGTGAAATCAAAGCATTTTTTTCTTTTTATATAATAGCCTTTCATTCTTTTTATGATTTTGTCTTTGAAAGCTGTTTCTGCAGATGACAGATGATATTGTTCTTCCATCCTGCTTCAGACAGAATTAAGGGAGGAAGGGGGAAAAACTATTGTAGAACCACTCCGCTCTGCAACATGATTTTTATAATTAATATATACAACTGAGCAGAGAAAGGTACGTTATAATGAAATGCAATTAAGAGGTGTTTGTTCTTTCCCACACATGATGACTATAATTTTCTTGGCTGTTTAGAAGTCAACCATTATCATTACATTTTGCACATATCTTTCCTTTTTTTTTTTTGCTCCTGGATTTGTTTATTTTCAGTAAAAAACAAACATGGATTTAAAGCATTTGATATTCAGATAACATCATCTTTTAATTATGGTCTTCGGTGATCATTAAATCTAACACCTTCTATGGCATTTCTTGCATTGGCATGGCTTCCAATTTTTAATTAATGGACCTTTAAAAATAGCTTGAAATAAAACTATAATTTCAATTTATAAAAAAGCTTGGGTTGGATGACAATATTATGTTTTTCTCCCATGTGGAAAGGATCCAATCTGATTTTATAGGTATCTGTCATCTTTGACTTTAATTATAACTCTCCTGTACAACCTGACATTTAGTCATGCACTCTGGGCTGCCCTCTCTTCATGCTCCCCGTTTTCTTTCTCTTTTGTCCCGATCCTCCCCAACTTGAATGGAAAAATAAGGGTTGGGAGTATGCAACAGTCACTGGTGGGGGGAGGTGATGCGTGATGGGGTGAAACTGGGCACCTATTTGGACCCCACTCCCAATTTTCCCTGGCAGTTTTCAGGGCTGAAAGTGTTTGGCCAGTCAGCTCCAGCCGGAAGCACAAAACACGTTTAGAATTGCTGAGCTTGAATGCTGAGAAGCTCACCTTTCGCAGTAGAGACTCCCCATGTGGGAACCCAGAGCCACCATCTCACACAATAGATGCTTAATAAAAATGTGGGGCTTAAAGGAAGCCAGGAGCTTCACTGGGATGAGCGCGAATCAACACAGTTAGAGAGCAGGGTCTCTGACACTAAATGTTAGGGCATGATTTTTACTCAACATCTTTTAAGTCTCCAGGGACCTAAAATTAAGAGTCTCATGCTCTACCAACTGAGCTATCCGGGTACCCAGGGACCTAAAATTAAAGGTGGTGGTGGCATCTACTCCTATTTTCTGTATTTCTTTTTTTGGGATTGTTTAAAGGATGTTCGGCAAAGAATGGCTATTGCCTCTACAGAGCCATGATTAATATTCTAGAAGCTCCTAACAGGGAAACGGTATTGTTGTTTAGCTCAGGAATATGGTTTTTCTCTAGGACAATCAGGAGATGTAGGGAGAGCATATAATGCAGGAAAGCTTTCTTTCTTTTTACTCTTTATAGGGTTAATGTTTTATTAAAATAATAGTCACAGTCACTAAAAATCTCAGCTAGCTCTTGTTAGCCTAGAAGTAGAAATCAAAATATATGGAGGGCAAGATTTAAAGGATCTGGTTAGTTAGATCCCAGGTAACCCCCTCCTCACCCAACTGCTGCCAGTTCAACTAAGGGAAACTTCTATGTGCCAGGTAACTCACAAAAGCACACAAAAACAATAATTCCTGCCTTTGTGAAACTCTTTGACAGAACTATCCAAAGCCAATAAAAGCCCCAGCAAGACAGTGGGAAAGATTTTACATCTCTGGTGGGGCTGAGACCCCGGGCTCACAGGCCAGCCTGCTCCTTGCTCGCCCCTGCAAGCCTCCTTCCAGCTTCTGTGTTAAAACGGGGTTGACTTTCGCTTGGTTCTTAGGGATTATTAATAAAATAGTTCCTTCCAAGTCTAAAGAAAAAGAAAGAGGGAAAATGTCAAACACATAGAAACAGAGTAGAAAAGTGGTGTCAGGGAAGTAGGGAGAGGTCGGCATATGGGCACAGACTTTCAGCTAGGAGATGAGCAAG